GGAAAGAGAGGAGAGAAGAGGGCAGAGCAGGAGAGGGAGACGAATAGAAGGAGAAGAGAGAAAAGAGAGAGGAAGTGATGAGAGAAGAGAAATGCATGGGATAGAGAAGAAGGGGAGAGGGAGATTGAGAGAGAAAGCAAAAGGAGAGAGAGAGAGAGGGAAAGAAAGAGACGAGGTAAGGTTTGGCGAGGAGAAGAGAGGAGAGAGAGAGAGAGAGAGAGAGACGAGAGAGAGAGAGAAGGAGAGAGAGAGGAGCAGACGAGACGAGAGAGAGAGAGAGAGAGAGAGAGCAGAGAGAGAGAGAGGAGAAAGAGAGAGAGAGAGGAGAGAGGCGGGAGAGAGAGGAGGAGAGATCGAAGAAAGAGACGGGAGAGGAGAGAGAGAGAGAGAGAGAGAGAGAGAGAGAGAGAGAGAGAGAGAGAGAGAGAGAGAGAGAGAAGAGAGACGAGTAGAGAGACAGAGAAGAGAGAAAAAGAGAGAAGAGAAAGAGGAGAGAAGAATGAAGAGAGAAAGGAGATAGAGAAAGAGGAAATGAGCAAAGAGGAGACAGAGAGAGTACAGAGAAAAAGAGACAAGAGACAGACGAGAAAAGAGACAGAGCAAGAGCAATACAACAGAGAAGATTCAGATTTAGATTCATACTTTGAATTTCACGTATTGACTATAATCTGCAGATTTCATGAACTGGCTGAGCCTTTGTATAACCGATGGTGATTCTCTTGAAAGGATGCCAATGAGATTTAGAATCACAATACACCATTACTGAATATAAACAATAGGTTTCAAATGGACAATAACAGGGATAGAAATATCAATAGAATGATGATAAATAAACTTGGATAAATGACAAATTACATGTTGTAGGAAACATTAGTTAATTATTACTGATACTGTTGTAGGATACTAGTCAGCATACTGTTTGTACAGAGCAAGAGACAAGAAAATAGAGGGCGGGAGAAAAGAGTGACAGATGATAGACATGAAAGGAGGAGGGATGGGAGTGATAAGGAAAGGAGAGAGGAAATAGAGAGAAGAATGACAATCGTGTTCATGTTGACAAATAGTAGAAAAGGTATGAGAAGGAAATGTCTTCACAATACAAGAGATTAGCATTTACCTCTTTCAAGACATCTTCGTCAAAATTATTAATACAAACGAGAGAGAAAGGAGGAGAAAGGAAGATAGACTAAACACAGAGAGAGAGAGAGAGAGAGGAGAGAAGAGAGAAGAGAGAGAGGAGAGAGAAGGAGAGAGAGACTGACGACGAGAGAAGAGAGAGCAAGAGAGAGAGTTTATGACAATGAAAAAATGAATATTAATATTTTAAAAATATTATACCATCCGAGAGCTCCTTTGAAGCGACAGCACTTGAGGCCCAACATTTCCACAGAGGGTTTAATATCTCCCTCTCTCTCTATCTCTCTCTCTCTCTCTCTTCTCTCTCTCTCTCTCTCTCTCTCTCTCTCTCTCTCTCTCTCTCTCTTCTCTCTCTCTCTATTAACATCAGTTTGCACAGCTAGACCTCCCTTCGGCTGGAGGGAATATACAGATGTGCAATAAATGCAAAATAAAGGATTTTCTTTACTCTATTATTTTTTTTCTTATTTTTCGGTATGTTTACATAAAATTGCTGTAAACGACAATTTCAGTCAAGATAATTCAGCAGTTATGTGGTACGGTTTTTACACTGTGCTTACCGTTTTTCGTACATTAGTTGTGGTATCATTCGCCCTTGATAAGCAACATCACATTGAGGCACATCGTGGTCGGTTGCAATACCAATTTCATCCTATTTCGCGTTCCGTTTCCATGGCAACAGAGACGCCACCCCCCTTCTCTTATGACACTGACAAGGAGGCTACCATTAGGCCAGCAAACTACCTATTGTCTCGAAAACCATCGGTTGATAGGACCGCGTTCCTAGTCACTCCACTACATATATATATATATATATATATATATATATATATATATATATATATATATATATATATATGTATGTATGTATATATATATTCTTTCTTTCTTTTCTTTTTTGTGCTCGAGAAATGTGAAAACTAATGCTTAAAAAAATGTATTTGATACGTTTCCAAATGGTTATAAACTTAGAAATGAGCAAAACATCAAGGTCATTTCAACCGTTTTCCTTCGTCTTTACATGTTGTTTTTCTTGTGCATGTTTGAGAAATAACACATGACCAGTTTTGAAAAAAATATTTTGTGATTCCCGACACCAATATTTCGTTTTTCGTTAATTAAACCACTATTCGTATTCTTCAGCCTGAAGTTCGAAATCCAGGTCGATACCGTTTTGTTTTTCTTTTCTTTTCTTTCTTTTTTTATCCACAAAACATCATCAATCTCCCATTCCATGATTCTTTAAAGCTAGACATATACGTTAATAGCATGATTTGGGTGAAAATTATTAAATGTAGGGTGGTAATATGTCCTAAATATTGTAACATTATTACAACACTTTACCTTAATAATAGCTTCAGAACTTTCCATTAGCATTACAAGACGAGAGGGAGGTGAGGAAGAGGAGGAAAAGGAGGAGGAGGAGGAAGAAGATGAGAAGGAGGAGCGGTGCGAGAGGGAGGTGAGGAAGAGGAGGTAAAGGAGGAAGAGGAGGAGGAGGAAGTAGAGGAAGGAAGGGCGTATTCTGGTGCATGAAAAAGTAACAAAATATAATATTGTATCCTAGGCGTATCTAGTGGTATTATATATAGTAATGTCTCCTTTTTGGAATAATATGGAAGACTGGCGAGTTACTGCTGAAAGAAACTCCAAGGCAAGCTATAAATTCCTTTTATTTTTTGCAATTCCATTTTTATTTTTTAATAGCAGTTTAGTCGTGAAAATGATTAATAGAGACTAATAAGCCCCAGGTATACAATTGCTTTAAAATTTCTCATTCTTTCTATCCCATTCTTATTCTGTGTATTTATCTCTCTATCTTTTTACCTATTTATTTATCAGCTCTATGTATCACGTGCACAGCATTAAGCAAATCATACAAAGCATGATGATTCATTCAACATATCCGTAAGTTATGTAATCTTCTGAATCATTTTCTAATCAAATTCATTAGTTATAAGTGTGTGTGTGAGAGAGAGAGAGAGAGAGAGAGAGAAAGAGAGAGAGTGAGTGAGAGAGAGAGAGAGAGAGAGAGAGAGAGAGAGAGAGAGAGAGAGAGAGAGAGTGAGAGAGAGAGAGAGAGAGAGAGAGAGAGAGGAGAGAGAGGAGAGAGAGAGAGATGAGAGAGTGAGAGAGGAGAGAGAGAGAGAGGGGGGGGGGGAATTTTCTTTCTTTTAGCAGCGCATTTGGGTTTCATAAGTGTTACCATAAATACAAGTTGTAATAGAATATATTCTCATTTACATTGTCGATATTTCTTATATCACTTATATATATACCACTTTTAGCAGTTTTTATTGTCGATTATAATGTAATGTGAGAATGATATATTTCATATATAATCATCACCATCAAGACATACTATATGCACTGTATGATATTCATTCACTCCTGTTCAACTTTTCTTTCTTTTCCTTTACTTGAACCATAAGCATGAGATGAGATGAGTCTCCTCTCTTGATATTAGTCATTGTAATCTTATCGTTTTCCGACCTATCACTTAAAAAGGACATGACTATTTCTCATATCAGTAGAAATGCTTCATGTGACACAGGATCTACAAACAGCAAGATGTTGCCAGATTATATTGGGAAGATGGCAAAGAATAGGTAGACTGATAGAAAAAGGAGAGAGAGAGAAAAGAGGGAGACTGAGACATAGAGACAGAAACAGAGACAGAGACAGAAAGGGAGAGAGAGAGAGAGAGAAAGAGAGAGAGTGGGGGGTATAGGGGAAGAGGGAGGGGGCGTATAGGGGGGGAGAGATGGAGGGAGAGGGGTATAGGGAGAGAGCGAGAGAGAGAGAGAGAAAGAGGACGAGAGAACTGTAACAACCATTCCACGCTAACGTGCAATTCAGTAGATATTTGGAAGGGAAAACGTAAAAATCTTTTTCCTTTCTTCTTATGCTTCCCTCTTTTTCTCTCCCTTGCTAGGAAAAAAAGTCACACAAAAGAAGTGTTTGAAGGAGGAATGAAAAAGACAGTCGAAGGGCGGAAGTAATTAACGAAGCGAAATTGCTTGTCGAACGCTCTATCTATTCTTCAAAAGTGCAGGAACATTTTTCAGCACGGAAAAAAGAGTGAAAGATGATAAACGGAATTTCGACTACCATCGATTTTTTTATTCTGTATGATTTTAACTAACATAAAATAAAAAATAGCAGCTCATTCGCTCTCACATCATTTTACAGTTGCCTTTCAGTCATTAATAGCAATGGATACATAAACGATATTGTCTGGTAGTAATCAATAGTAATGGATACATAAAGGATATATAAATCAATAAACATGAATGAACAACACCACAATACCAATTTGACAAGACCTGCCCAGCAAAGGGCCGTTTGATAAAATGTCGTGGCCCGACCCAAATACTTGACACACATACATAAAGAAATAAATGCATATTTATCAGTCTGGACATGCACATCAGCAAATAGATGGTTAAATGTTTATCTATCAGATATATAGACAGATAAGCCTTTATTTCTGCATCTGTATTTATGAAAATTCATTGGGTCGGGCCTGGCACAATTTTAACAAACCGGCCGTGTATCATTAGTAGTAGTAGTAGTATTGCACGCAAACAGACAAGTAAACACACATGGTAACTGGTTTATAAACTAACCCATAACATGCTGGTAGATCTAGATCTATATATCTATATCTCTATCTGTTTGCCTAACCATCTATCTGTCTATCTATCCATCTATCTGTCTCTCCACCTATCATGTCTATCTATCCACCTATCATGTCTATCTATCCACCTATCATGTCTATCTATCCACCTATCATGTCTATCTATCCACCTATCATGTCTATCTCATATCTATCCACCTATCATGTCTATCTATCCACCTAT